TTGAAATTTAATAAAGGAAATGTCTATTATTTCTTGCTTTGCAATGTTTCTTCTTTTAATTAATTAATTAATTATTAATTTTTTTAAACTTTCATTTTATTTTTTGTTGCTACAATATTTACTTTATTAATGGCCAATATTAATTGTTATATAAAATCAAATTGGAAACACCATGGATTAGTTTATTTTTTTGGTGGAAAACAAAAATCCCTCTCATTCTCTCCCACCCCCAAAAAACAACAACTGAAATACCATAACCTTCTCTCTCCCTCTCCATGCGTTGCTTGCTCTCCATTTTTAACACCAATTAAGTAATGCAACGAAACGTAACGTTAATATTAATTAGTTAAAAAACAAAGACTAAAAAACCAAAAAAAATATCAAAACACAACAACAACTACACTATTGCCGTCATAGCCGCGGCATAAGTTTATTATTGCAGCAAAGGTAATAACATACCTTCAAAATCAACAACTTTTTGAAGGTGTTTAATAAAAACAACAACAACAACAACAACTCGATGGCATGGCTATTCGCAACAAGGCTTGTGCCTTTTACGTCGCTTGGCTGTGGATATAGAACGTGACTAAACTTGTTGAAAAACAAAATTTATTTCATTTCAAAAAAAAAAAATGCAATCGATTTCGGTTTTCTTAAAGGCATACTTTACTTGGCAAACTATTGACTGTGTAATCGAACATTGAAAAGTTATTATATTATCGAAAACATATAGAAAAAACAAATATTTTCCAGAGAAGAAGTTGTTATCGACAACACTTTTCTATAGAAAAAATTGTTATCGAAAATATTTTCTATGGAAAAAGTTGTTATCGACAACATTTTCTAGAGAAAAAGTTGTTATCGACAACATTTTCTAGAGAAAAAGTTGTTATCGACAACATTTTCTATAGAAAAAGTTGTTATCGAAAACATTTTCTATGGAAAAAAATGTTTTCGACAACATTTTTTATGTGATCAACAACATTTTCTATAGAAAAAATTGTTATCGGCAACATTTTCTATAGAAAAAATTGTCATCGACAACATTTTCTATAGAAAAAATTGTCATCGACAACATTTTCTATAGAAAAAATTGTCATCGACAACATTTTCTATAGAAAAAATTGTCATCGACAACATTTTCTATAGAAAAAATTGTCATCGACAACATTTTCTATAGAAAAAAATGTTATCGGCAACATTTTCTATAGAAAAAGTGATTATCGGCAACATTTTCTATAAAAAAAGTTATTATAAACAACATTTTCCATAGAAAAAGTTGTTATCGACAATATTTTCTATAGAAAAAATTGTTATCGACAATATTTTCTATAGAAAAAATTGTTATCGACAATATTTTCTATAGAAAAAATTGTTATCGACAATATTTTCTATAGAAAAAATTGTTATCGACAATATTTTCTATAGAAAAAAATGTTATCGACAATATTTTCTACAGAAAAAGTTGTTATCGACAATATTTTCTACAGAAAAAGTTGTTATCGACAACATATTCTATATAAAATGTTGTTATCGACCACATTTTCTTTAGAAAATGTTGTTATCGGTAACATTTTCTATTGAAAATGTTGTTATCGGTAACATTTTCTATTGAAAATGTTTTTATCGGTAACATTTTCTATTGAAAATGTTGTTATCGGTAACATTTTCTATTGAAAATGTTGTTATCGGTAACATTTTCTATAGAAAAAGTTGTTATCGACAACATTTTCCATAAAAAAAATTTGTTATCGACAACATTTTCTATAGAAAAATTTGTTATCGACAACATTTTCTATAGAAAAATTTGTTATCGACAACATTTTCTATAGAAAAATTTGTTATCGACCAACTTTTCCATAGAAAAAGTTGTTATCGACGACATTTTCTATAGAAAAAGTTGTCGTCAATAACATTTTCTATGGAAAAAGTTGTTATCGGTAACCCTTTTCTATATAAATGTTGTTATCGACATTCTTTTCTATAGAAAAAGTTGTTATCGGCAACATTTTCTATGGAAAAAGTTGTTATCGGCAACATTTTCTGTGGAAAAAGTTGTTATCGACAACATTTTCTATGGAAAAAGTTGTTATCGGCAACATTTTCTATGGAAAAAGTTGTTATCGACAACATTTTCTATGGAAAAAGTTGTTATCGATAATATTTTCCATAGAAAAAATTGTTATCGACAACATTTTTTATTGAAAAAAATGTTATCGACAATATTTTCCATAGAAAAAATTGTTATCGACAACATTTTCTATAGAAAACATTTGTTATCGACCAACTTTTTCATCCCTATTATCAAAAGTGGCTCCCCTGTACTTTGTTGTTGTTTTTCTTCCCATTTTAACCAGTCATAACTTAAGTTCAATATCCATTTTTGGTGACAATGTTGATTAGGTTTGAATTTAAAAAAAAAAAAACAAATACACACTGTTCGCCTCAATGCCTAGCCATTGGTATGCATTCAATACCCTCTGCCCGGCATATCCTCCAAATTTGGTTATTAAAATGGCTGATTTGTCTACGTGTTGGTTTCCATATTATTTCAATTTCGATTCCATTGTTATCTATTCAAAACTATTTGGTTGCTTCGAAGTTAATACGTTTCGAGAAAAATAACAACAAAATTGGTTTATGCGAAAAATGAAGACTGCGTGTAATAACCTCACTTTTGCCGATGACTTTTACAAGCAATTCGATTATCCATTTATTGATGGCTACAACAAATTTGTTTATTGCCAATAACAAGAAAATTTCACTTTCTTTGTTGGGTGTATGGCGTAGTTGTTGTTGTTTTTTAATTTTGTTTTTTTTTTTTTTTGTTTTGCAAACTTTATTCCAGTCACAGTGTGAGCCTGGTATTGAAAGACTGGTTTGTAGACAAATTGGCCTTTAAATATTGTTAAGATGTTATATTTGTAGTTTTGTAAACAAAAACATGCTTGTTAGCCTTAATGATTGATTGGAATTCGGTTTCTTTGGCCATTGACTGTTTTTCTATTGGAAAATGACAGCATATTTTTTGTTCAAGCCAAGTTTAAATTGAAGAAATGTTTTCCTCACAAGAAAATTGTAGCGGGAATGCCATTTCATACCAAATTTGTAAAACATGAAGCAAAATTGAACAGGAGCTTGATGACGGAGAATAGATGATTTGATGTCTGAAAAACTCAATCACGGAAGCTTTTTTTTATCACAAAAGATTCAATAATTTATTTATCATTTCGGTTTTATTAACAAACAAGATTTTTTTTATATACATATTTGATTTGATTTTCAAAACAAAAATCGAAAACTAACAATGTTTTACTATTATCGCCTCTGAAATAAAACAATAATTTATTCATGAATAATTTCTTAGTTTTAAAACCCCATCAAGAGTGGTCGCAGCACACGCAAGCTCGTGTGTATGTTTGTGTGTCACACACATTATAAAAAAAAACTAATTAAAATTCCATACAGAATATTTGTTTGTGTAAAGATTAAGGTTAAAACTAAAAACAACAAAAGTAATTTTTCAGGGAAAATGTTGTAAATGTCATAGGCAGACAGGGCTTTTAAAACGATGTTAGGTTGTAAAATATTTTATTAAACTTAATTAAAATAGGTCATAAAGAGGTTTATCTACGGAAAATTGAATCGATAACAATTGTTTTTGGGGAGAAAGGATTATCGACAACTATGTTTTACATTAAAAATTGAACTTTTTCTATAGAAAATGTTGTCGATAACAATTTTTTCTAAGGAAAATGCTGTCGATAACAATTTTTTCTATGGAAAATGTTACCGATAACAATTTTTTCTATGGAAAATGTTACCGATAACAACGTTTTCTATAGAAAATGTTACCGATAGCAACTTTTTCTATAGAAAATGTTACCGATAACAACTTTTTCTATAGAAAATGTTACCGATAACAACATTTTCCAAAGAAAATGTTACCGATAACAACATTTTCTAAAGAAAATGTTACCGATAACAATATTTTCCAAAGAAAATGTTACCGATAACAACATTTTCTACAGAAAATGTTACCGATAACAACATTTTCTACAGAAAATGTTACCGATAACAACATTTTCTACAGAAAATGTTACCGATAACAACATTTTCTACAGAAAATGTTACCGATAACAACATTTTCTACAGAAAATGTTACCGATAACAACATTTTCTACAGAAAATGTTACCGATAACATTTTCTACAGAAAATGTTACCGATAACAACATTTTCTACAGAAAATGTTACCGATAACAACATTTTCTATGGAAAATGTTACCGATAACAACATTTTCTATAGAAAATGTTGGCGATAACAACTTTTGCTATAGAAAATGCTGTCTTTTTCTATAGAAAATGTTGTCGATAACCACCTTTTCTATAGAAAATGTTGTCGAAAACCACCTTTTCTATAGAAAATGTTGTCGATAACAACTTTTTCTATCGAAAATTTTGTCGATAACAACTATTTCCATAGAAAATGTTGTCGATAACCACTTTTACTATAGAAAATGTTATCGATAACAACTTTTTCCATAGAAAATGTTGTCGATAACAACTTTTTCTATAGAAAATGCTACCGATAACAACTTTTTCTATAGAAAATGTTACCGATAACAACTTTTTCTATAGAAAATGTTGTCGATAACAACTTTTTCTTTGGAAAATGTTGTCGATAACAACCTTTTCCATAGAAAATGTTGACAATAACAACTTTTCTATCGAAAAGTATTTCGATACTTTTCGCTCGATCGATTACAACTTTTTCTGTGAGAAAACTGATCGAAAACAACGTTTTCTTCGAAAAATTTGATCCATAACAATGTTTTCTTTAAAAAAAGCTTGATCGATAACTACTATATACTTTAAAATAATGATCGATAAATCTATCTTTAAAACAATTATTAAAAATATGTCTTCAAAACAAAGTTTTCTAAGCTAATATCTAATTTCCTTTCCTCTCTCTCTCTCTCTCTCTCTCTCCCCCTTCTAGCAATGCCATAATGGAACCAATGACTGCCTTGGTATTGGCCTTTCAACTATTGGCCCTTTTCTCAATTGCCGGAGCCCTTATCATCTATTTGATATGTAAGGTGCGTGACGATGATGTCAAGAAAGCTGAACACCCCAAATCGAATACCGTATTGGTAACGAGTGCCGATACAGCATTGGGCCTGCAATTGTGTACCCATTTGGCCAGTAAAGGTTGCCGGGTATTGGCTGGCATGAAAGATGGCGTCGATAGTCTGCCGGCGAAGCTGCTAATTGGTTGGTTGAAAATGCGCGAATTTACCGAAGCTCCAGTATCGGGTGAAATCATACCGATATTCTTGGATGTTACCAAAGATGAGGTGTTGCGTGAGGCCACCGAAAATTTGGGCACGCATTTGAGTGCCGGCGAACAGGGCATCCAGGCGGTCATAAATACTAGTGGCACTTTCTATAGGGGCCGCATCGAGTCGCAGGAATTGTATCAAATGGAACAAATGTTTAAGACGAATATTTTGGGTTCTCTACGCATTGCCAAGGCTTTTGTGGATTTCTTGAAACCAACCTGTGGCCGTTTGATTTATTTGGGTGCCGCCAACGGAGGCCATGGTGATGGTATGATTGCCTACAATGTTTCTAAAGTTGCTACGGATAAATGTGTACAAGAGGTGCGACGTGAACTGCAACCGTTTGGTATACGTGTGGTCTGTTTGGATACTTGTGGTTTGCATGCCGAGATGCTCTATAAACCACCAACGGCCCAAAGTAAGTGGAGATGATTTTTTGTTTTTATTGCATTTTACTTTTTGTGATTTGTGTTTTTTTTATTTCATTTTAGTTTCCAGTGGAGCCCCAACAACCTATACCGCCAATGTCTTGAGTCCCAGTGCCCTGAGTGTGGTAGAACGTGCCTTGTGGGATCTGTCGCCACATGAACGCTACTCCCTGTTGGCCTCCAACAAATACCAATTCGCGTTGCCATGCCGTTCCTCAATGCGTTTGTCCAATAAGTCGCCGGCAGATGATGTAAAGAAACCATTGGAAAAACAAAGATCCCTTGGTGGAACAGTTGGTGTTGTACAGCGTGTTTGAATGCCAAACTGTCTCGACTCCATTGAGGAAGACAGAGGAAAATTTTGATAATTCTGAAAAGGAAAAACAAAAGGAAGAAATGTCAATTGAATTCCAGAGAAAAAAAAAGAAAACTTACGAAAAAGATTTTATCCCGGGATTTTGCGGAGGAATTACTTCTTTGCTCTCGAAATCTAAAATTCCAAATTTTTATAATTTTTTTTTAATATAAATTTGTAAATAAGTCTTATTTTTTTTTTTTTTTATTTTTAACAAAATTTTGATTTGTTATATAAACTAAAATGCTAAAAAAATTGGTCACATTATTATTATTTTCCATAGTGTATATACATCTAAGAAGAAAAAAAAGAAAATATTATTTCTTTTTGAAATTTTATACGTATACATATATATTGTAACTCTTTCAAATCAATGAAAATTTAATAATAAATTTAATATAAAACATTTTGTTTTAAATGAAATCTAATCTAATAAATATATTCAAATAACAAAATTTGTTGTGATGTTTCTTCATTTTTTTTTTTTCAAAATTTTAAGTATTGCAATTTTTAAGCTGCGTGCGTATGTGTGTGTGTGTAGGTTTGGGTTTCCAAAAAGCCATGCTTCACTGGCTGGCAGGCAGGCACCCAGGCAAGTTGGCCGCCGAGACTTGACGACATCGTTAGGCATCTAACTTTCATTCATATTTCGTTATGAAATCGTAACGCAATACACTGGCTGGCAATATATCACCAGCTTTGGCTTCAGTTTTAGTTTCGGTGCGTGCCGGTAAATGCACCAGTACATCGGCTCCAACAATACTTTGCAAGCGGCTACTCATCTATTGCAGTATTGCGTTGATTCGGCGGTTATGGTTTGCAAAGCGAAAGTGTTGAAAAAAATATTAATGCATTTAATTAAAGTAAACAAAAAACAACTTTGAAGGGAGTTGAAAACAAACCTGATTGCCGGTAATCGAAGCATAAAGTTGACCATTACGGCTTGTGATTGTGGCACGCATATATTCAGGTCTGGGATCTAATGGTACACTTTGATTTTCCAGCTAAAAAAAAAATAATTAAATTAATAAAAAAAATAGCAACTTTCGTTGGTGAAACTAATGTTCCACTCCAACTCCTGTAGAAATTAAAAAAAAAAAAACAGGTCTGGGAATTAAGACAGTGGGAAAGAAGCTTATGGTAATCTAAGAAAGGAAGAGCCACCCGACAGGAGTCTACAACTAATAAGTAAAATAGAATCAGTCGGACAGATTTATACACCCAGCCTTGACTTATGATTATTCAAATTGTTGACCCTTTATGGGGGAAATTCCGAAGCAGTTGATCAATGCGTATCCGACCAAAGACTGATAAAAATATTACAACGTGCCAGATTTGGACCATATCGTCTACTTCCTATACTTTATATGGGATATGTGCAAATTTTTGGGAAATCTGGAAATATACATGAGGTAACATATATAGCGGACCGAAGTATTCCATTTTCTTATTTCATCTAATACAGATAAAAATATTTGTATGTGCAAAATTTGTAGGATATCGAATATTTATATCCAATTTTATTCGAAATCATAAATTCCGATTAATTATATATTCATCTCAGGCTTCTGGTTAAGAGAAATATTTAGATATAGCGAGTTGTAACGAATCGCCGACTTGTTTCGCAAGTTTTGACATGGATATAAGTATTGGAAATTGTGACTCTTTGTGGGTGAGGTTCCAAAAGGGGTTGGCAGACATATTTCATCTTCACAACAGATCCTGTGTGAAATTTGAAGAGATTTAGATGCATACATCGCTTTCTTAAGCGTTTTGTTTTTCAAAAATCTTGAACCCTATGTGGAGGAGATACCAGAATAAATGGTCCGATCTCTACCAACTTTATAACAGGCCTTGTGTTGATGGAAATATTGAAATTTGCCCCGTCTGAATGGAATCGGAGGTCAATTTCGTGTTTTATGAGCTTCATGGATATTCAAAATATTGACCGTTTGTGGGGGAGCTACCAGAAGGATTGGACCGTTATATCCCAATTTCACACCAGACCTGGGGTTAACAAAAATATTGTGATGTGTATAATTTGAACACAATCGGATGCTTATTTCGAGTTTTATAATCGTTTTTGTTATTCAAAACTTAGACCCTTTGTAGGGGAGGTACCATAAGGAGTGGTCCGATCTCTACCATATTTATAACAGATCTTGTCCCGATGGAAATATTGAGATATGCCAAGTCTGAAAGGAATCGGATGTCATTTTCGTGTTTTACGAGCTTCATGAATGTTCAAAATTTTAACTCTTTGTGGGGGAGGTACCAGAAGGGTTGGACCGTTATATCCCATCTTCTCACCAGACCTTGGGCGAATAAAAATATTGTCATGTGTGTAATTTGAAGAGAACCGGATGCTTATTTTGGATTTTATGATCGTTTTGTTATTCAAAACATAGACCCTTTGTGGGGGTGGTACCAGAAGGAATGGTCCGATCTCTACCATCTTCATCACAGATCTTGTGTTGATGGAAATGTTGAGATATGCCAAGTCTGAATGGAATCGGATGGAAATTTCGTGCTTTTCGAGCTTAATGAATATTCAAAATTTTAACCCTTTGTGGGGGAGGTACCAGAAGAAGTGGACCGATATATTCCATTTTCACACTAGACTTAGGGTTAATGAAAATATTTTGATGTGTGTAATTTGAAGACAATCGGAAGCTTACATCACATTTTGTAAGAGATATAATTATTCCTAGTTTTGACCCTTTGTGGGGGAGGAGCTTGATGGTGTGGACCGATATTGTTCATTTTCGCACCTGACCTAGCACTGATGTAAATATTACGATTCGCAAAGATAGAGCAAAATCGGATTATCCTTTCTCTTTCTGTGCAGAAAATATATTTTCTAAAAATTTCGACCTTTTGAGGGGGAAGTACCAGAAGGAGTACACCGATATTGTCCATCTCTGAATTCGATCTAAGTTTGACAAAAATATTTCGATGTACCAAGTTTGGATCAAATCGGATACTCCCTTCAAGAGTTATCGTGCGCACCAGCCAGCCAGATGGGCGGACGGACGGAAGGACATCGATAAATCGACTCCAAATGTCCTGTAATGAATTTGGTCCAAAGAGACCTAGGGTCTAAAAGCGTTATTTCGATGAGGCACGTTTTGGCCGTATCAAATGAGTTATACCCTCTCTAGCCATGTGGCTGAGGTTATAAAAAGGGTAGGCAAAGCTCGAAAATTGTATCCTTGTGACTCAGCTAGAATACTTTGCCAAACATGGCTTCGAAATTGATAGGAAAGATGCTGCTAAGAATTCCTATTAAACTTATAGGGCGCAAAGATTGGGGAGTTTATTCTTCTGACCATTTATTGGAATCTTCAGTTATGACAGCCAGTAAAAAAGTCAGAGAATTGCGCCAATTTCCAAGACTTAGCGATCTATCATAACATTGATATGTCGACTTTGCACTGTTTTTTTGGGACAGCAGTTACAGATAAACAGGACAGTACGGAACAAGGCGAGGCACTAGATTTTTGTCTATTTTTATGCATCATAAAGCCGTTCAAAAATCGAGAGTACCCTCCAAAATTCGGATATTTTAGGTCTCTTTAGAACAGGATTTTGCAGTTGATGTAAAACTAGTTACTAACTCCCTCACTTACAATGACTTGCACCACCGGTAACATGCATTTCTCTTGAGTCCAGCCAGAACACCATCTAACGGCTGGCAAGGCAAACAAATGGAAGCACACAAAGGCCGATACAGGATTGCCGGGTAAGCCAAAGAAATATTTATCACCTTTGGCGGCAAATGTCATGGGTTTGCTAAAATAAAAAAAAAAATAAAAATAATATTCTCAAATATTAATTTCAAAAAAAATTATTTCAAACCCTGGTTTCATGTTGACACGTCCCACCAGTAGTTGGAAACCCAGCTTCTGCAAAACCGGCTTAATGAAATCCTTATCGCCCATGGAAACACCGCCGCTGCATATGACAAAGTCTACTTCATCATAAATGGAGCTGAGGGTTTCGGAGACCTCTTCAAAACTGCAAGAAAATTCCAAATATATCAATAATCCACTTTTTAATATAAAATACACTTGTCATACTCATCGGACAAAACCTTGGTTACAAAACATTCAAAGCCAAAATATTGCAGCAATTGTCTCAGCATGGTGGTATTTGAATCATAGATCTTTCCCTCAATGGGATAGTCTTGGGGATCCAACAATTCACTGCCTGTGGAGATGACTGCCACCAGGGGTTTGTGCAAAGGCACTGCATGGCCCACCGAGGCCATAAGGGATTTCACCACAACCGGTGAAAGATCCACACTGGGAAAGAGGGGAGAATTTTTCGACAAATCACAGCCAAGGGGCCTGCAATGAAAAAAAGTTGGGTTAAATAGGGATCCAAAAAATGTTAGTGGATGTCCTACCTTATATCCAAATCTTTTTTGGGTTCCACCAGTATTTCCACCAAATCCTCTTGGCCATTCTTTTTGGTCTTAAGCAGCTTGGTATCCTCGACTTGTACAACACAATCAGCCTTCAAGGGTACCGGAGCCCCAGTATTGATTTTATAACATTCATCTTCTTCGAAGTCATCGCTAATAATTGAATCTCCAGCTGATATATAACCAATTACCTTTTTGGATCCCGAAAATCCGGACGATTTCATGGCATAGCCATCTTTAATGGAAGCCCTAAATGGTGGTATGTCAACGGGTGATTTAAAGTTTTTCAATAGATTAGGCAATGTTTCCTGAGTTTTTACGGTCTGCAGGATGAGATTTAATGCTTCGTTTACGGGCAACATGGGATATGGTGAGTTGCGATCTACACCATCCCCCTTACCCGTTTTGTGGGGACAAACATGAGGTGTAGGTGATTGGGCCACACTGGAGCCCTGCAATTTCTCATGAGTTTTGCGTACCAAAGCCAAATCATTGTTAATCAAGTGCAGAGCATGCGGCAGCAGGTCCTTTATATAATCAAAACATTCCACAACAGCCTTTTCACTTCCGGGAAAATTTATGATTAAAGTTTTCCCAGCAATGCCACAGACACTACGCGAAAGGGCGGCGAATTTGGTTTTTTGCAGTGAATGCATGCCAATGGCCATGGCAAGTTGTGGACACTCCTTGTCCAGAACTTCTTTTGTAGCCTCGGGGGTAACATCGCGGGCAGCAAAGCCCGTGCCCCCGGTGGTTAGAATGCAAGCCGTTGAAACTTCAGGAGATGACAACTGGAGTAGCTTCTGTTTGATAAGTTCCTTTTCATCGGGTAAAATTTCCTTGAGAATTCGAGGATTCTCGAAATTCTCCGAGATCAATTGTACCAAACGAGGGCCACTGCGGTCTTTGGTGGCATCTTCGTGGCATGTGTCACTGACTATAAAGTAGGAATATTGTTAGGTGTAAGGAGGATATATATGGAAAAGGAACTAAAGGAACTTACTGGTAATTACAGCAAAAACAATTCCTTCCGACATTATCTTCTTTGAAAGATTATCAAGTTTGGTTATCGGTTAACAAACAAACCCAAAACACCGGCCCACTTGTTGATTAAACAGAGTTGCCAAGTTAAATTGAATATAAATTAAACTTAAAAAAAAAATGAGGGAGGGCAAAGATAACATGATGAGCACCTGCGTAGCTATTCCTAAAGAAAATATATATTTTCTGAATTTAAGAATCGGTCTTAAGGGAAATTTTGTGTTCATCGTACGAGTAATGACTTTATCGATCTAGTGGTCCATTTGCTACATCTATGTCTTTAACAAAATATTAATATTCACTAATAAATAGCAGTCCCAATTGCAGAGTCGTATAACTCAAATAAACAAAAATAGTTTATATTTGTAAAATTCTTTATTGAATTCTCAATTTTTAGTAGAATATATGGCTACAAACACCCATTTAACAGGGTGACTACAACTACGCAATTTTTCGACATAGTGACCCCTAAACGTCACTAGTTTCTTTAGTTCCATGTAGTGAGTCACTCTCTTGAACCAAATTATTCCCAAACGACCAACTCCAGCTAGAACACAGAAAAAATTAGGAGTATTGGAGGACATAGAGCCGAGTTCATAAACAAAATGAATGACTTAAACAATTCCAAGCCCTATGAGGTAATACGAATTTGAATACCCTTAATCAAATACGTTTAAAGTATCCACCTCTTGCAGAACCATTTACTAAACAATGTCATTACCAACAATGCCAATATAAATGATGAAAATCTATCCGCTGGCCGTCGAAACTTACGCCGATGGCTAGGCAAGCCCTTTAGGGTAGTGATTACCGATGGTCGAGTGCTGGTGGGCTTTTTCAACTGTACCGACAAGGATTCCAATATTGTCCTATCCATGTGTGCCGAATATCTGGAAGAGGGCGAAGAATCACCACGCATTCTAGGCAATGTTATGATACCCGGTAAACATATTGTTTCCGTGTCAGTGGACTTACCACCCGAAGAGGTATATACCGTGAAACCAGTGAAAGCCTAGTCACCCACGATTTTACTCAACAATTAGTATTTTTTTATTTATTAAAAATTACAGTAACAAACTATAATAGAAAAAAAACGGGTGTTATTTTTGTACATTAGAAACTTATTTCTTTGATTCTTTGGTATGTTCTTCTAGTGGATCGACACCTTGTTCCATTTTCTGTTTAAACTGTTCATAGGTACGTTTACGATCGAAATGTTTAACCCATGTCCCGGGACAACTGGTCTCGAAGAGTTTTCTCAGTTTCTTACAGGCGTCTGGAACTTTTTCGCCTGATGTTGAACTATGTTGTGGGGCATTTTCACTTAGGCACTTCCAGTAATCGTCGCGGGCACCCCAGCATTTAGTCCGTTCTTCTTTGTTAAGAAAACTCATTGTTTCTTATTTGATATTTGTGTAGTGTTTTGTGTTCACGTAAATAAATGCTTGGATTTCGGGTTAAAGTTGCATAAACACTTCAGAAGATGAATCGTTCCGTCCGGCGAACGAGTTCAATTGAACGATTCACTCAAGGGAATTAGGGGGAACTAGTTCGTTTACAGAGGAGATTCGATAAGAGTTTGCGTACTTTATACACATAGTGGATACGAAGAATGAAACGAAAATAGGAATTGAATTTTAAGAAATAACTGTAATTTTATTACTCTTTTCTAGCTCTGTAAAAATTTCTATTGGGGTTGAGAACACACATGCATTTATTCAAATGCGACCCTTATACAAGTGATATTTGAGCGCTTTTCCGAAAGGTTGCATTTACTTGAGTTGAGTTTGTTTTTGGAGGGATTTTTGTTACAATTATTAAACTTTTTATTGTAATTACATTTCTAGAAAAAAATATAAATGGGGTTTACACAAGATAGACTTTCTTGAATCAGAGTTGCATTTTACTATCACACATGGCTCAATAAGAAAATATGCTCAACATCTTAGAAACTAGAAAAATGCGACTCTGTGCTGGCGTCTTATAGTGTCAAATAGACTTTTAAATATGCGACAGTAGGCTTTATTCATTTTTATTTTTTAACAAAATTCCTATATTGGGAAAACCCCGCGAAACAAGAATTAAATTTCGGGCTTATTCCACAAGATTTAATCTAAAATGGTAGAACAATCGTCCATTTGGCTTTGTTTATTTTTATTTTTAACAAACTTCTTATATTGAACAAAAAACCGCGAAACAAGAATTAAATTCTGGGGTTATTCCACAAGATTTAATCTAAAATGGTAGGACAATCGTGTAAAAGGTGAATTGCTTTAAATCAGCTGTTTTACTTTTTTGAACTGTCAAAATTTCCTCTGAAGCGAAAAATAATTCGCCGCACTCAGCACACGCCAATGAAGTTCCTCGCTTCATTTCCAGCGCACAATGGCCACCAAAATCTCCGGATACCAATCCGTTGGACTCCGTTGTGTCTGAAGTATTTTGGAAAGCAAGGTTGGCACTAAAAAATACCAAAGTGTCGATCGCCTCAAGCAAGCGCTTCGCAGGGAATGGGCCAAAATACCGCAGAGCAACATTCGGGCAGCGTGTGACGGTTTCATTCAAACAAATCTAAAGTTATTCTAAAATTTGATGCTATTTCCGACATTTTTTACTTTCATTCACTAAAATTAAAAAAAATGTAAAAATTATAGCGTTTGACTTTATTGCAGTTTTTTTATCTAACCCTGTATAAGGCCGGACAAGAAGTCTTTAATTGTCAAAAATTTGACAATAGACTTGAGAGTTTAAGGTGTGGGTACATAAGCAGCTTGGCATATCAATGTCAAATTATAAATGGGAAACGACGGCTGTATTCGAGTTTGGCTCTGACATCCCTTTAAAATATGTCACAAAATATGCCATGCAAAGACTTTAAACTGTTTATGCATTCTCACCCATGGTAGAAGAATATAGGTAGATGCATCAACGCCTGGGAACATTGATATGTCAAACAATTTTAAATGTTCTATCAAATATAAGTAGATTTTTATATGTTTTCTTATACGACGTCATTCCGAGGTTATTATAATTCGCGTTTTTTCAACAATTTTTGCAAATTTAAATTATTTTTCATTCAACATTCTCAATTCCCAGATTGGTTTGACAGTTTATTGTCCCAGCAGCTGTGTCGATGCGTCTACCTACATTCTTTTGCCATGCTCTCAGGGTGGAAATATATAAAGCACTTATTTGGCTGACTTAGGCTGGAAATACATAAAGCGCATATTTGGCTGGCTTAAGTCATCGGCTGGATTCTTCGTAAATGAACAAAGGAGTTTTAGGTTAACCTAGTTCGATTTTGGCCCTAGGCTCCTTTGTTCATTTCCGAAGAAGCCAGCCGATGACTTAAGCCAATCAAATAAGCGCTTTATGTATTCACAGCTTTAAGTCATCGGTTGGCTTCTTCGGAAATCAACAAAGGAGCCTAGGGCCAAAATCGGACTAAGTCAACCTAAAACTCCTTTGTTTATCTAAGAATAAGCACTATAAGGTAGGGATACATAAAGCGTTTATCTGGCTGGCTTAAATTATAGGCTGGCTTCTTCCGAAAATTTAAAAAGGAGCCTTGGTCCAAAATCGAACTAAGTCAACCTAAAACTCCCTTGTTCCGATGACTTAAGACAGCAAAATAAGCACTATAAGGTGGGAATACATAAAGCGCTTATCTGGCTGGCTTAAGTCATCGGCTGGCTTCTTCGGAAAATCAATAAAGTAGCCTTGGTCCAAAATCGAACTAAGTCAACCTAAAACTCCTTTGTTTATCTACGAGGAAATCAGCCGTTGACTTAAGCCAGCCAAAAATGCGCTTTATGTATTCTCAACTTAAGGTACACGACCAGTCCCTTAAAGTCGATTATTCGATATTCCCGCAAATCGAAAGTCGATTATTTTTCCTTATGAATTATCGTTCCACTCGATTATTATCCTTAAGAGTAACGTTTCTCTAACTTTACAGGAGTTCTGTTGAGCGAATCATGGAGAAAGGACATGGCGAACATACGGCTACGGTGTTTTGAATAGCGCAGATACATTTTAGATATCTCACAACAAGGAAAAAAAAAACATATTAACAAAGGACATGGAAAATAAAATTACAATGAAAAGCAAATAATATTTTATTAAAAAAAGCCAGTGAAAATGCTGTAAAAATTTACCAGGAATATATTTTAATAAAAAAATGGTTTTCTGTAAATATTCCTAGAAGGAAAAAAAGTGAAAAAGGTGTCAACAATTTTTCCACCCAAAAAAAAAAAAAAAACAAAGCAAGGGAAGGATGAGCACGAGTTACAAAGGAATTTTTCGTTTGCTTCGTTAAGTTTGTTTGTGTTGCTAGTGCTGCTGCCGCCGCCGCTTCGCAAAAAATAGGGTGGGAAAGAAATGTGCCACTGACCGTACCCACAGTAATTGTGGCTTGTCTGTGTTTCAGCGTTGGTGCTTTACAACGGTTGTGTCTCTGTTCTTCCTAAATAAAAAAAATATTGAAAAAAAAACATCGCAGATTCCTGCTGTTTCGTATGTCCTGTGGTCTTTTGCTTGTTACTTGTTTCCTTGTATTTCAAAACAACAACCATAACAACAATTACAGTAATGCATAAATAATTATTAACGATTTTTTTTTTTTTTTGGCCAAATATCAAAAATCTCCAACAAGGCAAGCTATGAAAGAAGTGATGCGAAGAAAAGTGAAAGGAATGTAAACGGAAATAAAATAACTAAAAAAACAGAAAAGCTTTAATCAAGGTTCATGAAATGTATCCGATAATCCTACTATCACAAAATATGTAAATGTGAACGTGTGCGTGACGTGTGTGTGTGTGAATTTTGTTTCCCTAAGTTCCTTTATTAGAGAATTTTGAACTCGCATTTATATTCAAAACTAAGAATTTTTATTCAAAATAAAAAAATAATTATCATGAATTCCGTGGACTCAGTATTTGTTTATGAACATCCCGAACATCCGGAGATCCATAAAATGGATTGGCAATTTTTCATAAAAGTGAGTAGAGAAATAATAATCAATAATAACAACAACAACAATCATCAGCATCCGCATAATCATCATTAGCAATAACATCATTCTCCTTCTCCTCAATATACAATGTCACAAATGTGACAGTTGTTTTTTTTTCGCAAAGAGTAATGATATTAAACAAAAATTGGCAAAGAGAGCCAAAGAGAACAAGAGAGTATGGAATTTATCATCAGGGAAAAACAAGAAACAGGGTCAAGGATAATTTCATATATCGCCCCAAATTGTAAACAAGATTTTTTATATGTGTATATATACAACACGATGGCAACCCAGTTAACTGACAGCTGGACACATACACTACATAGCAGTAAATGGTATGTTGTTGTAAAACAACATAATTAACAACGTCATCTGGGAGTCACGGAATAACAGAGTTGTTTTTTGTTGGTTTTAATAACGGTTAATTAGTAAATGATCTATGAACTCACTTACTTGACAGCTGTTCACATGACATGTCTGTGACAGGTGAATAGTAAACATGACAGATTAACATAAATCAAGAATGTAAGTGAGAGTGATGCTAGGCTGTTTTAAGGTGAAAATATTAATAAGAGGATTTTTTCGGACATAAATAACCACCTGGGCCTCAATTCTTGTTCTACGAAAATGTGAAATGTAAACTTTTATAAAGGAAAAAAATGTCAAATGAAAAAAATTTATAAAGTAAATATTTTTCATTTCATATTTTCATAGAACAAGAATCCAGCCCCTAGTAATACAAGGGCTTTAAGGTGGGAATACATAAAGCGTTTATTTGGCTGGCTTGAGTCATCGGCTGGCTTCTTTGTGAGGGAAAAAAGGAGTTTTAGGTTGACATAGTTCGATTTTGGTCTTAGGCTCCTTTGTTCATTGCCGAAGAAGCCAGCCAAATAAGTGCTTTATGTATTCCCACCTTTAGGGTGGCCAAGTTGAATTTATGGACCGAAATTGATCTAAAGGTGAGAATACATAAAAGACTTTTTTGAATGGCTTAAGTCATCGGCTGGCTGTTTTGGAAAAGTATAAAGGAGCGTAGAGCCAAAATCGAACTAAGTCAACCTAAATTTCCTTTCTTCCTCTACAAAAGTAACTCTTATTTTTTCTGACATAAATAACCACCTGGTAACACACTGGAGGTGGCCAAGTGGAATTTATGGATGGAAATTGATCTAAAGATGAGAATACGTAAAACGCTTTTTTGACTGACTTAAGTCATCGGCTGGCTTCTTGGGAAATGAACAAAGAAGCCTAGGGCCAAAATCGAACTAAGTCAACCTAAAACTCCTTCCTTCCTCTATAAAATGAACTCGTACATCTGGCGCCCAAACATATAATTGTTAGTTCAATGATACATACTAAGATGGGGTTTACACAAGACAATTTTTTCTTGAATCAGAGTCGTATATTCTTAAGGCTCTATCAGACGATATGTTTTATACATATATGGTGTAAAATTTTTCATATGTAGAAGCTGGACACATCGTGTGATACATCGACGACACTTCAGTTGTGAAATACATAAGCAAAGTACATACCATGGTAGAAGAATACAGGTAGATGCATCAAAGCTTGGGAACATTGATATGTCAAAAAAATTTAAATGTTTTTTTTTTTTTTTTTCAAATATAAGCAGAATTTTATATGTTTATAACAGATCTTATGTTAACAAAAATGTTTGTATGTGGGAAATTTGAGGAGATGGATGGATGGATTTTGATGCTTATTTCGCTTTATTTGAGCGTTTTGTTTTTCAAAACTATTGAAACCTAAGTGGGAAAGGTACCAGAAGAAATGGTCCCATCTCTACCATCTTTAAAACATATCTTGTGTTGATGGAAATATTGCATAGTCTGAGTGGAATCGCATGTTAATTTCGCGCCTTATGAGCTACATGAATATTCATAATTTTGACCCTTTGTGGGGCAGGCACCAGAAGGAGTGGACCGGTATATACCTTCTTCACACCAGATCTTGGGAAAATAAAAGTATTGTGTTGTGTGAAATTTGAAGAGAACCGGATGCCTATTTCGGATTTTATGATCGTTTTGGTAATTCAAAACTTTCATTCTTTGTGTGGGAGTTACTGGAAGGAATGGTCCGATCTCTACTATATTTATAACAGACCTTGGACTAAGAAAAATGTTGTGACGTGGGTAATTTGAAGACAATCAGACTCTTGTATCACATTTTGTAAGTGTTACAATTATTTAAAATTTTAACACTTTGTGGCCGAGGTGATGGTGTGGACCGATTTTGTCCATTTTCACACCTGACCTAGCACTGATGCAAATATTAGGATGTGCAAAGTTGGAACAAAATCGAATTATCCTTTCTCTTTCTGTGCAGTAAATTATTTTCTTTGAAAATGTTGACATTTTGTGGGGGAGGTACCAGAAGGAACTCGATCTAAGTTTGGAAAAAATATTACGATGCGCCAACTTTGGATCCAATTTTTTTGGCCATATCAAATGATATATACCCTCTCTAGCCATATGGCTGAAGATATAAAAACTACTAGATTCTGGAACAGAGCACCGATCGAGTAATTGGCTCAAATTTTTGGATGTAGCAAGCAATATGTAGTGTGGTATTAGCCCAATATTTCCAGGTCAATGGCTGACACAACACGGTTCGGCGTTGGCGCTGAAATATAGAAATGGCGCCCAACGTTAGAGGTATATAGCACTCCTAATGCCTTTCGTGGTACAGAGTATTCTCAAAAATGGTGCGGTATGGTTTTTGAATAGCAGTAGCACAAAAGGCCAATATCACAGTCCGCTGGAGTTGAAATGTGGAAATGGCGCCCGACGTTGTTTTGAAGCTATGTTTCTTGCGGCAACATGTCATAGCCATCTAATCGGTCAAGTGCTCCCAATGCCTTTGATGGTATATAATATTCTTAAAAACGACGCCGAATAACTTTTGAATAACAATAGCATCAAAGGCCAATTCTTACGGCAACAATGTTTGAGATTTCATGGCCATCGGATAGGTCAGAGCCATCTAATCGTTCAAGCGCTACCAATGCCTATGATGGTACAGAATGTTCTTAGAAACAGCGCCCAATGGCTTTTGAATAGCAATAGCATCAAAGACTAATATCACGTTTCGCTGGCGTCGAAATGTGGAAATGGCGCCCAACGTTGTTGTGAAGCTATATTTCTTACGGCAACAATGTTTGTGATATCATAACCATCTGACACAACACGGCTCGGAGCTGAAAAGTAGAAATGGCGCCCAAGGTGATAGGTCAATCACTTCCAACGTCTTTAATGAAACAGAATATTCTTAAAAATAGCGCCCAATGGCTTTTGAATAGCAATAGCATCAAAGGCCAATGTCACGTTCCGCTGGCGCTGAAATGTGGAAATGGCGCCCAACGTTGTTGTGAAGTTCCTTTGAATTTTCTTAAAACGGCCCCCAATGGTTTTTGGAATAGCAGTAGCACAAAAGGCCAATATTACGGTGCTCTGGCGGCGAAATGTGGAAATGGCGCCCAACGTTGTTGGGAAGTTATGTTGAGTGTTCTTAAAACAGCGCCCAATTTTGATTAGCAATAGCACCAAAGGCCAATATCACGGTACGCTGGCGCTGAAATGTGGAAATGGCGCCCAACGTTGTTGTAAAGTTATGTTGAATGTCTTTAAGACGGCACCTAATGGGTTCTTGAATAGCGATAGCACCAAAGACCAATATCACGGTCCGTTGGCACTGAAATTTGGAAGTGGCGGCCAATGGGGTTGTGATGTTATGTTGAATAATTTTAAAACGGCGCCCAATGGGTTTGGAATAGCAATGGCACCAAGGACCAGAACTTTGAATGCTCTCCACCATTTGATACAAATTTGTAAATTTTCAAAAAATTAAAATCCATTAAAAATTCTGTTAAAATCTTAAAAATACCGAATGTAGCCGTATATTAGGGTCTATACGACGACATGGACCTGCATACGCAACTTTTGTCATAAGCCTGCACAGACAATTTTCTCCCGTAGGCTGTAACATCCATTACGAACTTCAAATACCAAATTTGAAACAATTCCGGTAAAAAATGTCGCTAAAATCATTAAAATACCGAATATTGGGAGGTACCGTTATATGGGGGCTATACGAAGTCGTGGACCTGCACAGACTATTTTCTGTCATAGGCTGTAGTATCCATTACGAACTTCGAATGCCAAATTTAAAACTTTGCCGGTGAATAATGCCGCTAAAATAATCGAAATACCGAATATCGGGCGGTGCCGTTATATGGGGGCTATACGATGATGTGGAGATACATGTCCCAGTTTCAATACCAAAAGTCCGACAGGCATAATACACATTTGAGTAAATTTTTATCGGCTTGCTTCATATCGTTCGGAAGCTAGAGTGATTTCCACAGACGGACAGACGGACGGTCGTTGTTAAATCGACATAGAATTTTATGCTGATCAAGAATATAAACATATACTTTGTGTATATTTCGAGGTGTTACAAACGGAATGACAAACTTAATAAACCCTCCATACTATGGTGGAGGTTATAAAAAAGTTCCTAAAATGGCGCCCAATGGTTTTTGAATAGCTCCAAATGTCTTTAAAAGGACCTAGATTCCGTCCTGGCATTTTTCAGAAGTCTGCCCTGTCCCAAATCACAATTCAACTGTCATGTGTTAAATTGGCGCCCAACGTTTAATATTTTACTTTGCAAAATTAATTTTGTTGTTCTACATGGAATAACTTCACACTGCTATATCTTTGTTATTTCCGCATTCCAAGCCAATATATCATATCAGAAGTTAATTGGAACCTGGATAAATGGTGGCATGGCTAATTTGTCTCTTCCTACTCATCTGCACCGCATATGGTCTTATCAAAACTATTAAATATCTAGGGATAGCTATGCATTTCCAGTGCGCGTCCAATGGCTTTTGAACAGCAATAGCCCCAAAGGCCAAAAAAAAAAGTTTCTAAAATGGCGCCCAATGGCTTTTGAATAGCTCC